TTTTTTAACTCAGAAATGTCTTGCATTAAGAAATGTCTTTTATTCCTAAGCTAATAAAAACCACATCGAGTCATCAGAAGATTAATATTGACCTTCTAAACCATGGTGCTAGTAATCAGATAATCCTTATGAGTTACTCAAACAGTTACTGATCAATTTATCGTTTAATTATTTATATTGCCATAACCCCTAATCTCTCAGCTCTGCCATTTCCTTCTCTCTTTTATCACGGATGAAGTAGGAACCTCTCATCTTCACAGGCAAGGTTTTTGATATGCACCTAAATGACTGGGATCAAGATTAGTAATGCTGTAGGCAAATGTGCCATCTGGGGGCACGTAAGTGAAAGCCTAAAGCATGCTAATCTCAACAATTAATGGCAATAAAACCTAACTCCAACACTGATAATCAAGACCAATTTTATGGACGGATCAGTTCTCATACATTAGCCTACCAAGAAGTACCCCTTAAGCTGCTTAATTCTACATCACTATTTTATAATCTCAAGGAATCTTACATCTGCTTTAGCTTTCTGTACTTAACTGGATACAGCAATTGCCCACAACAATTGTGCCTGGAGCAATGGTGCCTACCAAAAATTAATTAAGGACTAGACTGGTGGGAAGAAGAGATTTGATAGCTGCCTACAAAAGGAGACTGACACTAACATAAGGTTGTTGTAACAGTGAGTATAAACCAAGGTAGCCCTACAGATCTCTAGCCTGATTATGAGATTGGCATACTGTGTGGTTGATAAAGATGCTTGCAAGAGAGCCTGCATACAATTTTAGGCAGTTATACCAAACATCAGCGCTTGAATGGGGCAAGGCCATTCTGTTTCCATTTAAATAGAAAAGCAAAACCTTCATGGTCACATACCTCATTGCAACATTGCTGCCATCAATAACTATTGGCCTCAGGTTGTCACCATCCTCTGTCACATCCTCCTGCAGTGGAGACTCTGACCTCTGAGACTCTAGGGAAGACGCTTCACGCATTACACTAGTGTTAGCATTAGTTACAGTCTGATCAGTCTCAGTTTTATTCCCAAGTTTGACAAGTTCTCCCAAAATATCATTTATTAAAGCATCAGTACCAAGTTTATTGAGTACAAGTTGAACCTGCTCTTCAGAGTAACCCAACTTAAGTGCAAACTCCAGTTTGGTTTGATATTCTTTCACCACATCAGGGGGCTTTTTGACTTCCTTAGGTACTATCTGAGCCTCTTCTATCCTAAAGTCTTGCAAGATTTCATTTCTTTTTAGTATATGAGGCTCTAAGCAAGGAGATCGGCACAGCTCTCGGTGAGTCTTAGGCAATAAATGTGACTCCGATGTAGAATTATTCAGTCTCTCTGAATCATTATCAGAATTTGTGCTTTCTTCAGAGTCACAGCTGGAGCTTCCGGAAGTCTCTTCAGATGCCTCCTTTTCTACATCTTCTTTCCTAGAATTAACCTTATCCATTGTTGGCTTCTCCACCACTGACCAAGGTACAATTGCATTTATTTGTGTGCCAGTGCTCCCCACATAAAGGTGGCCTAAGTCATGCCCCAGATGATCCTTCAAGCCCATGAAGCTGCTGCATGTACTTGACTCCACCTTGTTGTTTTTCTTGTATTCCTGAATATAAAGTGTTCCGTATTCCTAAAGAGAAAACAAAAATGTTGCAACTGGTTACATGCATTACTTATTTTGTATTTCCTTGCTGCTTCCTCAGAACTGCATTTATTCTCTCCCAGCAGAGAAACAGGACCTTTTTCTTTCTTTAAACATGGGAAACTTTCTGTGGGAAAACCTTTTCCTAAGGAACATCCATAGCTAAGTGGACAAATAACTAACTATTCTGAGTTTATCAAATGTTTTTTCTTACACAATTCTAGAAATGGATTTATGAAAGAATACGAAACCAAACACTGCAAGTTTACCTACTGTAGCATAGAGACAGGAGACTCGTCATGATTTAAAGACAATGAGATATTTCTTCTAGTTTAAGTCTATATTATAACAATGAAAAAAATATGTATGACTAAAATACAAGTACTAGAAAAGCTTTTTAAACTAAATATCTCAAACTACGTTGAATAGAAAGACATTAGCATAACACTAGATTATCTAGCTTATTAGTAACAGAAAACATGATTAAACAAAAACTTATCGGCCCTGAATGACACTATCTGTTCAAGTGTATACAATCAAACTATTTATAAATTCCCTTATAAAGTTGCAATTAAGCCAAGAAAGCCTAATTGCTCTCAACAGAGTGCTGTATTACTAGCACATACAGTATTTAGGGACATGGATAGATCTAATGGTCAATAAAGCCAAGGGAAGTCTTTGCACTGATTGCAATAGATCATTCATCAAGCCACCAAGTCAACAAAACTAAAAGCTGATTTCAACTCTTGGACTAGACACGGACAAGCCTTTTGCTGAATCAAAACTATACATATATAGGCAGGAGTCATTTAGGAAGAATGGAAGAAGACAAGTTGCAGTTTTGGGGACTTCATACACTTGCCATATCAGTCTTTCTGGAGGAATTTTGCATAACAGTAATTATTCAGAAGGTAGCCACCCAGTTCATCACAAAGATTACTTCCACAGCCCACACTTAAAGGCCGATTGCTACCTCTTTCCCTTACTTTGTTCTTTCGAGCAGGAATATTTGCTAACTGCTCCAATAAAGAAAGTAAAAGATAAACTATTTCTCATAAATAAAAATGGACCATATGGACCAATTGTACTGCAGGGTTACCATGAAAAAGAAGAATTTAAATTAAGGAAAGACTATGAAACAAAGAGTTCTTTCACACTTCCATGTTGCAAGGCAGAATATAAAACAAAATACAGAGGCAAAGGACTTCGTTTGAACTTGATAGATACACTACAGACACAAATTTCATCAAGGAGGACATACTGAGAAAAAACACGTCCAACAGAATCTCTTGACCTATACTAATACAAATTATAGGTATATCTCATGCACAGCCGAAATACATTAATTCTCCCATCCCCTTGCAGGAGCATTTAAGAATCACCCAGTATTTTTAAAATACAGTCTACTCCGCTCTTCTTGGGATAAAGATTTGCTAGTGTGCACCAGAGAAATTCATCCAGGATTAAGATTAGAGAAAATCAAAAAACCACTCAAATCCATGGTTCAGTAAAAGCAGATGCTATAGGCACTGACTGCCAAGACATCACCACTCTGGTGGAGCTTTTTGGTTATGAGGCACAAAAACTTACTTTACCTAGTTAAAATAACTAAATCTATCTGTCATCAATGTTTTGATCTCCAGCACCTTAATCCAGGTAAGACTATAGAAAACAAAATTTTACTTAGATATTATCTTGTTAAAAGGCAGTAAGACTGTAATTCTCAGGCAGCGTATTAATGAATATTGCATTCTCTTATCTCAAAGCTTTAGGATTTCAAACAACACCACAGATTAAATACAACAAGAATTTAGGAAATTAACCTCTTCACATGGTGATTTATTAACTAAGATAATACACTCGATAGCACAGAGATAGTAACAAATCACAATATCCCAATAAAAGGATACAGTTAAAAAAACAACACTGTGGCCTTCACAGAACTGACACCACAAAAAAAAAATAATTAAAACAAATCGCAAACAAGCAGCCCCTATTGGAAGCCAGGCTGCTTAGCAACTGGCCTCCAGTTGCTAGGATGCGCTCCTTTAACATACCATCATGAATACTAGCACAGCGAAAGAATAATTTGGTATGAACAAAAGCCCATGAAAGAGAGCGGGACTTAAGTGCGTCTGGTTTCCCCTCCGAGAACAATGCAGCTGCCAAACCAATCTGGAAGCCCCGACATCATTGTTCCACCAACCCCACAATCTGCTCTGACTCGAGGAAGTCTAGTTAATGGGCAACACTTTTAAGCTGGACTGAAAAGTTGAGCTGGCTCATGTACCGCTGCTGCAGAATACAGGGAGATAATGGGTCACTGCCTAAATCCATGTACTGTGAAATGTCATTTTAGTATTGAACTAAAAGTGGAGGGAGGGGTTTTTTTGGAAGGGGGGGAAGAGGAGGTTGCATATTAACAGCATCAAATAATGAAAGTCTGAAGTACATAGATTAGAAAGAGGTTTTTTTTTTTTTTACTGTTGGTTAAAATAATACTTAAGTCATTCTCCAATCGCTTCTTTCTTGAAGTTTAAGTGCTTTACAGCAACTACAAGCATAACACCCTCCAATGGGATTCAAAGAAGTCACTAGCATATGAATGTGTCTGAAGATCAGGCATTATATGAAACGTACTTTAGATGATTTGCACATCAACTGCGTATGAAAAATGACCGCAGACTGAGCTTGGTCCTTTGTTAGAAAATATACATAATCAGCCTCACATCTATCTGCTTTAAGTCTCCTGTCAATCTCCATCATGCTCCAATATACAATTGTTTATTTTGCACAGAACTCTACTGTTTTTCAGAAACTATTTAAAGAGTAGAATAATAAAAGCAGCAGCTTTAACGTCTCCCACATATAGAATATTGTCACTATCCTATTGCTTTAAAAGGGTAGTTAAAATTATGTTTGTACTGTAAACCCAAAGCTAAAGATTTTTTAAATAGTTTTGCACAAGCAGTACACTATTCCTGGCATTTGGCCTAAACCCTGCATGCAAACTGCAATTATTTTCAGGCAATTTTTTACAATGCCTGTGAACTTTGTACATCATATCTGTGGTCAGTAGCATCTCTTAGAAACATTACACTTTGGAGCTCCCATCATGATGTCCTTTATGAGATTCATTGACTACAACCATGAAAATCAGATGTCACTGTTGAATACTGCCAATTATTTTATCTTGATTTGGTTAGTGAAGAGCAACGTGCCAGCCGGTCAATTTGAATGAATTCGTATTCTAAATAAACACTAGTGTACCTCTATACAGGACAATGAAACTTGTGAAAACTAGAAAAGGTCACATTTATCCAAGGAGTAACATCAGCTAAGAACTCCTTTATTTAGAATGAACCCTCATTACACACATATGGTTTTAAAGTACGCTTTCTGATCAATGCAATAGAGCTAAAAAAAGTATCTGCTATGAATTCTAACTCAAATGAGAGCCAAGCAAACAAACAAAAATAATAAAAAAAAATTCATGTCAAGGAAGTCTTCAACTTTTGGTTATGCTCAGTTTAGTAAAAGAATTTTACGAAATTTTATTTATTAAAAAGTCAATAAAATGGGCAACTCCCAATTTAGACATAGCTATGACAACACAAGCTTTAAACTGTAGCCTGTTTTAAAGTACAGTATCTCACATTAGGTTCACTGTTAAAGGCCTAAAATACTGTGTCAAAGACATTTATCGAGTATAAACGTAATAATCCAGATGAGCACTGGGCTATTACATTGTAGAAGTGTAATCTTTTCCCATTTCTTAGAAGTCACCACTGTTTTCCACTAACCATCAACAAGCAGCCTATTGATTCACCTTCACGCAAACCAGAAATATTTCTCAAAGGAATGTGATTTCTCAAAGGCAAGTAGATATCTAATCTTTTACTGTGTATTCAGAATTTTTTCCACTTACAATTGAGCATAAGAGAAGCAATTTAATGCAAATTTAGTTCACAAAGGAAAATAACAAAGAGTAATATAGTGTGTCATGTGGCACAGTATAAGAGAAATTGTGTTTTCTCAAAAGACCATCAAAAAGTTTCTAACGATACGTTCTACAAGGAAATAGTTCACCATATTTTCACATAGGCAGACTTTTTCTAAGTCTTCTCTACATGAAATGGAAAATATTGAAATCAGTTTGTTGAAACACTCATTACTTGCATAAACAGAAGTGCAGAGTTGATCGGAAAAGAAAAAGAAGAATGTATCCAAAAGATACTGCAACAATGCAAATAAAATAATGAATATGTAATAAATACCTACTGCTGTAGTTTCTATGTATTTAATTACCATTGTATTTCAGCGAGTGCTGTTGTCTGCATCATTCTATCCAACAAAGGAGGGATGTCCCATTGAACAGATTGGTTAATGCTCTGGGGCAACAGATGTCTACTGGAACTGCAGGAGACCAGCAACTGGTGGCCTGCCCATCTTCTGAAAACTTTCAATAGACTCATGCATATGTTCAAACAATAGGGCATGTGGTAGAAATGCAAACCTCTTTTTAACCCTTTTATATGCTCTCTTTCCCTCCCAACTGATATATGAAGGTCTTTGTTTTGGTTTGTTTTTTTTTTCCTTTTCTTTACAGGATCCTTGGAACACAGGCTCATGGAGTACACCGTGTTTGTTCTTCAGCCTAACATCCAAACTCAAAACATAAACCAAAACAGATTAGAAACTTTATAAAAACAGCCAGGCTAGATCTGACACACTGATAACTAGCTTTCAAAGCACAAAACCTTTGACTGGAACATCAGAGAGCATCCTAATGCTCTATCATACACTATAGTATCTTCAGATAGCCCGCGATGGAGCTCTTCCTATTTTCACAAACACATGAAATTTCACCCATTGTATGGTATAATGGAAAACATCTTTAATTTTTTTTCTTAAAAGCTTTTTCTACTAGTTACAATGTAAGTAATAGCTTATTTGCAAAAAAAGGGTAAATACCTATAAAGTTGAAA